TCTTGTGGGTCAGATACCGAGTCCCCCTTGACTTCGAGGAAGGTTTATATGATCTCAGGCCACCGCGTGTAACTTTGCTTTGCCTTCATCCTCTCCCCAAATCAATTGACGATTACACTTGTCCAAAGCTTTACACACACCAACAGGAAGTAGCTCAGTGAACATAGGGTATATTGCAATACTAGAAGTCACAGCCTTTACCAAAGTAACTCTAGCTGCCATGGATAGTTGACGAGACTTCCAGGTCGCCAATTTCTTTTGGATTTTCAGTATCAGTTCTTTGTATCTCGTCTTGGTGATACGACCATTAATGGTAGTGATCCCCAAGTATCTACCAAGATCTTCTATGAGTGTTATTCCAGCTCTATTGCTGAGGGTCGTGGCTTTGTCTCTGTGCACATTTGGGGAGACGAACATTGCAGACTTATTGAAGTTAACTCGTTGCCCCGAGCTGGTGCAGAAGTCAATCAAGCACTTCTCAATGATGTCGATCTGTGCTCCTTCTGCAAATAAAACCAGGTCGTCTGCAAAAAATAAGTGAGAGAGTTTTGGACCATCTTTCATGAGGGAAATTGGTTTCCATAGTCTCTCCTCTAGTGCTTGTTCAATCATATTGCAGTCTTTCCATACAAAGAATGAAGAGAAAGGGAGAGAGAATCTCCCTGACGAACTCCTCTGGTTGGTTGAATTGGCGATGATAGCTGCCCGTTCCATTGAATTCGCATCCGGTTTCTTTCCACATATAGCATAATTCTGTTGATGAGAGTACTGGCAAAACCAACTTCTCTTAGAGTGTCCCTAATAAAATCCCACCGTAATCGATCATATGCTTTCTCTATGTCTATCTTTATGACTAGTTCACCCTTCTTGCCTTTCTTATTTCGCAAAGAGTGAAGAGTTTATTGGAGAAGAAGAATGTTGCCATTTGTTTGTCTGCCTTGAATAAAACCACTCTGTGTGGGAGCTATTAGCTTGGGCATGATTGGCTTCACTCTGTTAGTTATCGTCTTCGTGACTGCCTTGAGTGCAACATTATTAAGTAGGGGTGTTCAAACGGTTTGGTTACCATGGTAACCGTTTTAACTGGTGCTATTTGGATAATTTAGTTTGGTTAATTTAATTGGTTTGGTTTGGTTAAAGTTTTTAGCTTGTTTGGTTTAGGTGGTTTGGTTTGGTTTCAGACACTCCTAACCAGTCAAACCAAATTAACCAGTTAAGTAATTAGTCATATATCTAACATATATTATGTACACATACTTAATACTTTGCATAACCACTCAATAGTTAACGTTCATCCCTTTTAGACTCATAAAATATAAAGCTCAATATTGCTCATATAGTGTATATTTGTATATGTAAAATGTAGACCACAATATATGAACGCCTAATTTAGATAAGTTTCATACATTATGATGGATGAAAACTTGAAAGGAAGGTCATTTCCAGCCTATGATAATTGCTAAGAGACTAAGTCAATTTACACAAACACAACAATTCATTAACCCATACTATTATTATAAATTTTTGTTAGGTGAATACTTATATACTAATCGTAAGATAATTTTCTTAGTTGCATGTATTTTTGTTAAGGGTCAACTATAAATATGTGTTGATTGTTATGTTTTATTCATTATATAAATTGCGAATTGTTGCATTTACCGGAAAATTTTCATCGTCAATGATAATGTGATTTTATATTGGTTAATCTGGTTAACCAATTAACCAAACCGATTAAACTTTAGTTTGGTTAATTTGGTTATTGTATTAGTTTGGACGGTTTAGTTATGATATTGTATTCCATGGTTAATGGAATTTAGTTTTATTTGATTTGGTTATAACCATGGTAACCATTTGAACACCCCTATAATATTAAGGCATATTGGTCTGAGCTGAGAAGGGGTTTCTGGTTGAGCAACTTTGGGGATCAGCACAATGGACGAATCCATGATGTCTTTTGGTATGTCCCCAGTCTCAAAAAATTTCCCTGTCATCTCCATAAGACTTTTACCCACTAAAGGCCAAAGCTTCTGATAAAAAATGGCTTGGAATCCGTCAGGTCCTGGGGCTGAAAAGGGATTCATACCAAAAATCACTTTATGCAGGTCCGCTATGTGAATGGGGCGATGGAGAAGCATGATTTCCTCTTGATTCAACCGTGGGAAGGCCCCTTTTGGCATTAAGTCTTCATATGCCTTGCCATTTTCAGTGTACAGGTTACCATAGAACTCCATGACCATAATAAGTAGGGTGTTTTGATCAGGAAAAAATCCCAAGTTACACATGTTTTTAAAAAAAATTCTCAAAATACACACGTTATGAAAATAATTCCCAATTTACGCATGTTTGGGCCATCACCGCTGTCGACGAAGACAGTGATTGCATCACTGCAGTACACGGCCGCGGTGAAGGCCTGACCTGCGTCGAAATTTTAAACAAACGTAACTTTGTGCTCGGTTATCCGACCGTAGCGAAATTTTTTTTGATTCCGCATAATTTTTCGAGATCTTGCAAGCCGCAAATTGTCGTAGGCGGTTTGGTCCCGCCTTCGTCTCGAAAATATGTCGTTTGCTACCCCGAACGAGCCTTTTTCGATTTCGTCAAACTTTGAACGACCATAACTTTGTGCTCCACAATCCGAAAATGATGAATTTTTTTTTTATTTCGCATAACTTTTTAAGGACTACAATTTTTATCATAGACATATTTTCGGAATGTACTTGGATTCCTGAAAAGGAAGGTAAAGTTATTCCCAAAACCCCTTCTTTAGATTTAGATTAGATAGAAGATTTAATCCCTGGGTTCCTCAGCTACAGCTTGATCCCCCGAGATTTAACCCGGTGGTTCTTCCGGTGGGGGGTGATCCAACGGTGGCTGAGGTAATTTGTCAGGGGGAAGGGCGGTGGTGTGATTCCAAGCTCAGCTTGTGGTTTGATCCGCCTACTTGCCATATTATAAAAACTATTCCCCTCCCCAGGCAGGATCTTCCAGATAAATTGATATGGCATTTTACGCCTTATGGGGTGTTCTCGGTTAAGTCGGCCTATCATCTGGCTGTCTCCCTAGATAGGAGGAGGGGGCGATGGAAGGCGTCAGCTAGTTGGATGGATAGATCTAGTTGGATTAGGTTATGGGAGGCGAATATTCCCCCGAAGCTGAAAATCTTTGTTTGGCAAATTCTCAATCAAACTCTCCCCACAACGGAGGCCCTTATTGAGTGCAGGGTCCCTGTCCTTCCTCGTTTCCCGGTCTGTTGGGGTGGCCCGGAAACAATGGAGCATCTGTTTCTGGATTGTCCGGTGGCGCGTGAGCTCTGGGGGCTCGCCGGGTTAGAGTACCTAGGGGAGGGTTTGCCCCGCCAGACTTTTCCTCTGTTTCTTAAACGCTTACTGGCCTTAATTCAGCAGCCGGAGCTCCTCATGGCAGTAGTCTCTGTCCTGTGGCGCGTCTGGCGGTCGAGAAATTGGGTAGTGTTTGAAGGAAAGCAGTTTGGGTTCCCCACGTTGATGAGACAGTTTTCCCAGCAGTATGAGGAATGGGTGGGGTTGCCGGTGGATGTGCCCTTTGCGCCTTCTCCCCCGGCAGTTCCACGGTCAGGTGGACCGGACCAGGTTGCAGGGTTTATTTGCCAGTGGGATGGGGCTACTAGGAAGAGATCGCATTCAGCAGGTGGCCTGGTTCTTCTGGCTCCCTCGGGGGATGTTCTTATGGCTCACGGGATTCAGTTTCGGGGGGTTGATGACCCAGTGATCGTGGAGTTGCTTGTGCTCCGTGAGGCCATTACTTGGTGTTTGGGTCAGGGTTTCACGGGGATGCGCTTCGAAGGGGATGCCAAGGTTATCATTGATAAAATCAACTGCAAGGATGCTAGGGATAACCGGATGGGTGCTGTGCTGGAAGAAGTCTTACATTATTTTGGTAGCATCCCTGGGTTTAGTGTGCGATTTATAGGTCGGAGTAGTAATAGGGTAGCCCGTATGGTGGATAGGAAAGCCCTCTCTTTGTACCCGACTATGAGTCGTTCTTTTGATTTTCGGACCTGGCTTAGATCCAGGGTGTAACTATCTATATTTTGGTATCAATATATGATTATCTTTTGTCAAAAAAAAAATTAGATAGAAGATTTAGATTCTACCTTTTCCCGTTGTATATAAAATCTATAAAATATATAAAGGCTTTTCCAAAAACTACCTTCATCATTTCAAAATTCCAGCCCTCCTACGCATCCACGTCAGCACCCTTCCGACCAATCAGATTTTTTCTTAACTCCTTTTTTTTTTCTTTTAAATTTTTCTATACCCCAATTAGAATGTGCCACTTAACTCTCTCTCTCTCTCTCTCTCCTTTTTCAATCTCCCCTACTATTCTTAATTGATCCATATTTATTTCGTTTCAACTCCGAATTTAAATATTATTGCGCGAAAAATTCAGATTTTATGTGATCTACACAAGGATACCCATTTTGATATATGTTTTTTTTTAAAACATAGCCACAATCATATATTTACAAGGCATGTTCCTATTCGATAGTTGCGAAACTATATCAATATCATTCGATTGTACCGCCATAAAGTATATACTAACATAGATCGCAGAACAAATTTCTTATTCTACTGAGTTACTAAATTATATCAATGTTTAATTTTGTAATATCATAATAATAATGCACAACAATTTCATGGATGCTAAAATATTATCGTGCGGTACACACTAATTTACCTTAAAAAAATCATTTAGCGGCCAACTGATCGGACTCAAAGATATACACGATTCGGAATGAGAGAGGACATGACACACTGAACAAAATAGACACCTTAGGAGGAAAAAATACCAAAGTACATATTTCATCCCTTTCAATCAATCCATGCCAGATTTACAATCTTCTCAGCTTTAGGGTTGATTTGTTCTTTTCCTCTCTGGACGATCTAGTTTAATTGCTACGGTTAGGATTTGGGTTTTAATTTTCAATATTTTCAAAACGTTAATGCATTAAAATATTTTCAATCCAAGCTATTCTCCCGTACACCCATTTTCAGATATTGCCTTCCTCGTCGCTACCGGTGGCGGAGTTTCAGTCATAACATACAAAACACATGTCCTCCCAAATTGGGAAATCAATTAAATCAGAAGGGCAGATTACTTAATCACCAAAGAAGCTATTTAAGATCTTTCTATATGGTAGCTTCTGAGTAAGATTCCAGCTCTCCCATACTTCTCTTGTGCTTGTGTTTATGGCTGCCTAGAAAAAATCATTTCACTTATCTGGTTTTTAAAGCAGCCTCAACATCAATGAATTGGAAATGATGATCTGACTTGGTTTCTTAGCAGCTGCCAAGTACGTTTCATCACCAAAAACGCCTATCTCAACGCAATCCTTACAGTTTTAGGAGTTGAGATCATTGACTCCTGCTGTAGTGTGATATTTCAGCGTCAGGGTGTCAGATGAGTGGGAGGGGCAACTCCAGAGGCGCTAAGTTCGCAATTGTAGTAATGGTACTTGCAACATCTCTCCATCATTGGGGTTCTGCTATTCCTTGTTTGACACAAAAGAAACAGAGGGGTAGGGAAGGCAAAGACAGAAGCAGAAGGAGGTACCTACGATTCAGTCGTCGAGATTTCAATGGAAGAAGAGACACAGCATAACCAACTGAGACTAAGCAAAATAGGGGCTAAAATCAAGCAGCCAGCTTTCAGATTTCAATGGTAGAAGAAGAAACTGAACATAACCCTCGTCATTAAACAGAAAACCCAACTCAAATCTTACCTCTTGAGATTCACGGAGGGAATTTGACGGATGAGTGAAAGATGTAAGGCCTTTTTGTGGTCCTGGAGCAACCTGAAATCATGATAATACAGAAGCGGCAGCATTAAAAAAATACAGAAGCAGAATTACAGCATGAGGAGAAAAAAGTGCAGCTGCGGCAGCAGAAAAACAAAGGAAGCTAAGCTAGGAAGAGAAGGGTTCTGACTAAGGTCACCAACAAAATGGAATAACTACATAAGGGCCAAATAGCAGCCAGGAGCATCAGAATTGCAGCACCACTAATACGTAAACATACACAAAAGAAACAGTAGAGGGCAGCAAGGGAGAATTGTTTGTGTGGAACCGAGTTAAGAGTAGCAGGACTGCAGATGAATCAAAACAGGCCTAGGAGGTTTGCTGCAGGGCACACTTAGACAATTCCATGAAAACCCGTGACATAGAAATATAGTACGGAAGCAATGTATTCAATGCCAACAAAAAAGGAAGTTTGACACAAATTGGTACAAAATTTTACAGATTCAAGTGCTTTGACTCATCTGCAGTCCTTGGACCTAAGCATGGAAGAAGTAAAGAAGCAAGTACAAAGCTAAGATTAACAAAAATGACCCGACTAATCCACCAAAAACATTTGCAATGACTGATTAACGACAAAGGAAATGGTCATAACAGATTCCAACGTTCTTTCAAGCTTATGCAGTTCCAGGATGTTCAGACCAATGAACCTGGAGTGGCAGGCGATTCGTAGTTGATGATATTCTTTCTGCGATCGGAGACAGTACGAAATTATGAGTAAGATAGGTAAGGACATTCCTAGCAAAGAGATTAAACATACTGAGTACTTGGCATACACACATGATAACAAAACAACTAACACACAAATGAGAACAATTTCATGGATTGCAATCCCATTGAGATTGAATATAAGGAATTAATTAGCAGAACCATAAAATAATCTGAGCTTTGCATCCTTAGGAAGTACAAAGATGTTTACAGCTCAACCATGGAAGCTTGCAGAGATGTTGTCTTTCCTCCAGGACCAAGAGGGCTCACAACAGCAGTCCCATTAATAGTTCACGAAAAGATGTAACAAATGTTTTGTTATTTGAATTATTTCGTTGAGTGAAAGAAGATGAACGGCAGGTAGCCCAATGATACCAGCAGCTGTAGATGAACATCAAAATGTCATAATGAAGCTCACGTCTTGTTGCTTCTGAAAGGGCCTCCTGGTTCTTTGCTAATAGTTGCTTCCTCTCTGCATGTACAGGACTGGGTGAAGGTGGAGGATCACACTACTTATGAAGCCATAGTAGCTGGCAATAGATGTCGGCTTCTGTCAACTAGGTTTTGTGGAGTCTATTAGGTTGTTCAATTCCACCCTTGCCATAGTTGCCGCTATAAATCTAATATATGCACTCTGCAATTCTATCTGCAAGTTGGTTCCTACTGTTTTGCTCCTTAATCATGCTCATTCTTTTTGTGTTTCGGTGAAGAGGGTATGCAGGGAAAGGGAAAGTCCATTCTAGGATTCAATCTTAAAACCTTTGGATTGAACCAAACCTTTGTACGCCAACTTGTGCTTCCTTTTTTTATGCCTAAATAAGGGCAAAGTTCAGATTTGATAAGCGAGAACCATAGTTCTATTAGCATAATTTTATACCAAGGCAAAGAAAAAACTGATATTATAATAATAATGGAAAAGCAACAATTTGTTCAATTATCATAACCAATCAAAACAATAGTTGAGATAAGTAGTATCACTCAAAATAACATCTAAAATAAAAATGGTTACTTAACATTAATATAAGTAGACATAACAGAAAAAATAAATTATTTTTTCAATTTGTAGCATGAGATTCTAATCTAATTGTACATGCTGCCTCTCAACTTCTCGTACCTTGGATGTTTTCCTTTTTCTTATACGTCGTACCTTGGAACTGGAGCAGCCCAACAAGAGACCCTTGGCCGGAACACCATGCCCAGAAACTTCTCTGTACTTTGGAATAGGATCACTACTGCTCTTGTGCATGGCTCGCAACTTCTCGAAATTCGGAATTGGAGTAGCCCAACAAGAAACCCTTGGGCGGAACACCAGAAAGTACAGGACATCTTCTGCCCCTTCTGGTTTGGCGAACAACTCAATCTCTTCCTTCCTCAAATCGCTGCACAATACAACATTTGTATCACGAATTCCCAGGAAGTAGACAATTTGCGGCTTCTGTGGATGCAGAAATGGTGTATCAAAGGCCTCGGGTTCATAGTTACAACACTTTGACGTACTGCTCACCAGCCCCTCGCATTGTTTTCTCCAAGATTTATGGTCTTCTTCCAACCTCCAAACGCTCAAGCGAAAAGGAGGAGCCTCATTTTCTAGCGCTATTACGTGCAGAGCGTCTCGAGAAACAGCAAGAGACCAGCCCGGTTTCGCAACAAACTCAGAGACATCAATGGAAGCGGGAGGCATATCAAGCCGGAACGGATTGAACACATCGACGAATTCATCCTTCTTGCCAGGGAATTCTTTATACTTCCAAAACAACTCCCCCTTGCACGAAACTACATTTTTTTTCCCCCGTTTCATATGACCATCGCGGACAAGAGCATCCTTAATCCATTCTCCAGACTCCGAACAAAACACGTCTAGTCTTATCGATGCCGGCGGGAGCCGTTGATACATACAAACAACCCGGAACCGATTCCCAGATGTTTGGGGTTCGCAAACTAACCTTGTGACCGGAGATAAATACCCAACCAACTTCCTGGGCGCCAAAGGAAGACCATGCCACTGCTTCGTGAACGGATTGCAGACGAGGTACGATCTGCTATATTTCCCATCGTCGCGAGCTTTATCCTCAAACCCGCACAAAACCAGGTCCTTGTCGCAGTGCAGAACTCTGAGCGCGTCTCGGTCTTTAACCCCATTAGGGAAGGGAGCGAGGAAGCTGAGGACGATGGATTTGAGATCGTCCCGAGTCATGATCTCGCGGTGAGAAAGGAAACGGCGGTTGAAGGAGGCATTGGAGATGACGGACCTCCACAGCTGGCAAACGATTTTGCAGCGGCAGGCGGATCTAGGGTCCGGGAGGCGAATCAGAATCTCTACGAGGAGATCGGTCCCGAGCTTTCGGATCAGAGGATTTGGGTCTGAACCGATTCGTTCTCGCTTTCGGGAACCGCCACCAAGGAGTTGTTCGCTCGGCGGCGGATCCCGATCCAAGGAGCTGCATCTCTCGGTTGACATGGCGTAGAGAGACGAAGGGACGCACGCCGGGATGGAGGAGGAAGGATTCGGCGGTGGTAGGCGGAGATTGGGATTGCAGCGGCCAAGACAGCCCGGAAAGCGCGATGAGATCTAAAAACCGCTTCTCCTTTTTGTTTTTTTTTTTCCCCCTATGTCAATGCACTACTCCTTCTCCTTTGCGGCTCGGGATTTTAGTGGGTAAGCTTTTTTCACTTTTGTTTGGGCCAGGGCCGACTTGTATTGAATTGGCCCAACCCATTACCCATCTTCTTCCAAGTTCCAAGTAGTGATGGATGTTGGATTTGGCGCAACATTATGATTTATGTGTTGCTTAAAAAACTTTAGGATAAATATAATTTATTAGTCAAATCTTTTATTTTAAATAAAATAATAATTAAATTATTTTAAAAATAATTTATTAGTCAAACCATTAACTTTCAATATGATCAACCGTTAGTTGACTATGACGTGACAAAAGGGGCGAGATAGCATGACTACCCCTAAAGAGGTTGGAAAAATGACACCCCCTATTAATTATAGGAATTTAAGGTAATTAATTTCTATTGCATTTAATAATCTATCTGAATCAAATCGTAGATTTGTGTGGCTGTCAAAAATTTAATTCATTTTTCTTTGAATAGTCAAACAATTGAGTTCTTGCCATGTCATTAAAATCTTTCCACGTCAGCAATAAAATTGTCACGTCTTAGTCAACTAAAATTCATTTTTCTTTGAAAAGTCAAACAATTGAGTTCTTGCCATGTCATTAAAATCTTTCCACGTCAGCAATAAAATTGTCACGTCTTAGTTAACTAATAGTCAATTGGATGGAAAGTTAACGGTTTGTCTATTAATTTGTTTTCGAAAAATTTTGACTATTATTTTATTTTGGAATGAAAGGTATAGCTATTATATTATATTTATCCTAGTTTAATCACACCATAATAACTTATATTTTAACATTATACTATCTGTTTTCTTGGCTAATCTTGGTCAAGATTTTCGGTAGGATAGAAATAAAAGATTAAGGGTTATCTCTCCATGAATCTTAATTTTGTTGCCTAATCCTCATTTAGGACATGGACCCTATTCATTATGGGAATGTTCTGCAACTAGTATTCAACAACGTAACCAAAAATGAAAATAATGTACATATATCCGTTTCAAATATGTATTAACAAATTAAAACAATAAAACCGATTTGGTTACGACTCGAATGATTGACTATTATTAAGTTGTCAAACTATTATATCCTTATGCTAATTGATTCAGTACATTAACGGAGGATATTTTTGTAGTCAAGTCAATATGTTTGATTCTTATATATAATTTATTTTCCTCATATATACCCTTATACTTGAGAAATGAGTTGTATATTTTAATTTATTTGTTCATTATGATTTAGGTATTTATCGGTATCATTCATAGCTTTACCAAATTAAATGAGATCACTTGTATAGTATCTAAAATTATACCTAGATAAAACATACCAGGGCTACTTTGCCAAAAGAAAAAATATACAATAGCTACACAATACTCCACTCACAAGCTACACCGCCCATCTGGCGGGCCACTAATCTAGTTTTTATAAGGGTAAACCAAAAGCTAAAGAAAGTTACAGATCAAATAAAAGGTATCCCAGAAAAACCACCAGAACCATGTTCAGGCCAACAACGAGACACCTCCATTTAAATCTTTTACATCACCTACAGCAAATGTTACCAGTTACCACTACACCAATCAGCAAGACGAGAAACATTGGAAATAAAAAGTAAAAATCAAAGCATAGCACTGATATGAACCAAGAAATAACCAGTTGCCTCTACTGAAAGACAGATTAGTAAGTAGCACAAAACTTAGAATAGAAGTTTATACAAGACATAGAATGTAAGATCTGAATTCCTCTAAAAAGGGATTTGAAGTTGCAGGTACTTCAAACCACTGAGAAAAGCAACAAAACCTGTCTTAAAGGTTTGGAATATACCAAATCTATACAGAACAAGGAGCAACAGAATCGCCTCTCCCAAGAACCCCACACATACAAGCTAAACCTCTTCACTACAATCTCATGCACAAGAAAAGAAAATCAACTATAGCTTCCCATCCCATCCTCTCCACAATGTTCCTTCCAGCACTTGCAGCTTCCAAAGACTCCACTCCACAGGCTCTCCTCTGTCTCCCTACTGCTACCTGTAAAGGTTCGGTTCAGGTGTTTCAAACACTTACGGAAAGCACAGCCAGTATTAATGGTTTGGAAAATACACCAAATCTAAATAGAAAAAGCAGTAAAACCTGAGAGATATACCTGGATAAGAAAGAATACAAAATACAGCAGTAACCAACCTACTGCACATCCTTCACAACGCTGGCTGCCCTGACACGACCCAATTGCTCAAATGTAAGAGCTCCAAGTAGCCAGCTTTCGCCCTTGTCAATCGATACAAGAGTTTCCCATTGACATTTAATAGCAGAAAGACTACGAAACAGGTTCTTCCTTTCCTTCACCAGCTCCCACTTCCCTATTCCAACTTCTTCCACACCTTCAATCAGAAGCTCTAGTTCTTCATTTGTCCATTTCGAGTCAGTTGGTTCAACAAAAATAAGAGGAACAAACACCTCGTGAATCTGGGGAGCAAAGCCGGCAGGATATCTAGCATTTGACACCCTGTTGACAATGACGTCCTTTTCTGCTCCAGTGCCACTGTTACGAAAGTCAATTACCGAGCTGAAATCATTAAGCTCTTTCCTCCGTATCTCAATCTCCTCTTGACCTAAAGCAGCAGACATTTTTGCCTCCAATCGGGACAAGACAAGTTCGAAAATGTCCAGCTTTAACATCTCCAGCAGATAGTTGTGCACATCGACACGTTGCATGAAATGAGTTAACCTTGCCGACTGCTCAGGAGTTAAAGAACTCAAATCAAGAGGAAGAGCTTCTTCAGGAAATAGCAGAACCTGATTATGAGCATGTTCAGAACTCACAATAGAATCCTTCTGCAATTCTGTTCTCCTAAACAGTGATTCTTCATAATCCGAAAAAAACCGGGTATCCTCAGTAAGAAGATTTTCCTCATCATCGCCATGTGGCTCTGTGCCCAATTCCAACCACTTCTCAATATCAGCAAGTTTATCACCCCTCATAGACAGAGTGGTTGAAAACAAATCAACAGCATTGAGCCTCCACAGCTGCAACAGATGGCACTTCACATCTCTCCTGTACAGAAAATGAATGACCATTTTCTTCTGCATAGATGTAAATGGCGAAAGATCCAACTCTGCAAAATTAATATAAATAAACAGTCAGCCCATTTATCAGAGAAAACACAGAATAGAGAAGTATAAAATAGATATATACCTGTTATGAACTCCATAGTTCCCGATATAAACCCTACTGCAACACAAATTTGCAATTAACAACAATCAGACTTAAAATCAACATCTGTTAGAAAAAGGAATTCGAAATCAATCTGAGCAGTATTACACATTCCAAGTAGTAGCAACCACACAGAAATCACAAAGAATCCATGAAAACAAAGTAAATACAGGAACAGCAAAGAGCATTAGAGAAATCACGATCTAAAACAGAAAACCTACATCATAAAGAAAGAATATATGGCAAATGGATGGAATGGCAAACAAGAGATCGAGAAATATCAGAAATCACAGATTTTTTACCAGGCTGCTCAATCTTCACAATGTTAGCAGCCCTGACCCGGAATAGCTGCCAAGTAGTAGTTGCTCCTATATTCAGAAAATAACAGGGGCTGTTGAGATGGTTCATCAAGGTGCACCACTCATCTTCAATATCCGCAACACCACGGACAGATTGCATGTGATGTTGCACATCCCGCCAGCTGCCTGTCCCATACTCCTCCACTGCTCGAACCAACTTATCCACTTCCCCCTGATTCCAAGGCTCCTTGGGTTTCTCCACATTCGCTTCTTTCACACGACGCAACTGCTGCAGACTTAACCCATCGCGATGCTGAGAGTAGCCGGGACGACGATCATACTGCACCAACGTGTTCCATTTATTGACAATATTAGAAACTTGCCTCCGAAACAGGCCCTTCCTTTCCTTCAGTAGCTGCCATCTGCCTATCCCGATCTCCTCCACACCTTTTATCAGCAACTCAACCTCAGCGGGAGTCCAAGGCAGGGTATGCAAGGGAAGCACACAGTCAATTGGAACAGAAACCTGATAAGGCAATGGTGCAAGGGAATCAGGGTATGCAAAACAGGAGTGCCACTCCACGATTGCTTTGGCGAGTCTGTCACCAAATTCAGGATTCACAGCAGACCTAACCTCATTAGCATGAGTATGAAAGTCCTCGCCATCAGCAGCAAACAACCCCTTTTCCACTCCAGACAGAACAAGGTCTATTTCTTCATCTTTCAAACTCTCCCAAAGTACACGGTGAACATCCTGAAGCTGCATGAACTTTGTCAATCGGGCGCTCAGTTCGGAAGACAGGTAATTAAAACCCGGTATAGCTCCATCTTCAGCAGAAACTGGCATATCTTCAATGGTAACATGGGAACTTATAATTTTTTGCTCCTGATCTGCTATAAAGTGCTTCAGGGCATCTTCACACATAACAAATGAGCTGATGTCTTCTGGAAGGACTAGGTCTTCACCCACTGCCAGAGGTTCGACAATGGGGGTATCCACCCTCCAACCAAGATCAGCAACATCTACATAATTCCGTATTGATGCAAGCTTTTCAGCTCTTCGAAGCATAGCATGTTTGAAGATGCAGAGAGCATTTGTCTTCCAAAGCACAAACATATAGTTCTGCACATCCATACGTGCCAAAAACTTGGATACCTTTACCCTTTGCTGAAGGGTAAAGGGCGTGAGATCCAAGACTGCAAATAAAAAGTGCACTACAGTTAGTTAAAGGCATCAGAGAATAGGATTTAGAGGCTACGAAAACTAGTGATGGAACAAAAAAACTAGAGATGGAGCACGAGGGAATAGAAAACAGAGACTATACCATTAGGAAAACGAAAATCCATGATCCACGAACACCTACAACACCACGAAAAAATTAGATATGAAACTTGTTGACTTAACCAGCAAGATAATGAACAGAAACAGCGAACTGTGATGTAGAGAACAATTTAAAATCGGACATCTACATGATATATAAGAGCCACAACTAGCTTGCAGGGCATTGTATCCCAACAAGAGGACAATTCTGATACGATTATCAACAATCAACCAATGTTCCAGATCTTTTATCAGGCAACCAAATATTCCAGATTCATACAGTAAACCGCAGGTGATGATGCTAGCCAAACCCTCGGTTCAACAAGGGATCCCAGTTGATTGCAACTCAAATTGCATAATCACAATGGTCGAAATGTGTAGAATCAAAAGAAGTACCTGATGCTTGCTAAGCCTCCTCCTAATGGCTCTGGCCTTCTTGGGACGAAGATCGAGAGGCAAGAACTTCTTGTTCTTGTAGGCTTCACGCAGAACAGATTTCTGAGTCTGAGAAATCGCAGTCAACACTTGCGCAATCGACAACCGCACCACCTTTCTGCACAAACGCAATAATCAAACAAGTGAAATTTACATCAGTGAAACGAAGAACCAGGACCAACAATTACAGAAAGTCGTTAAAGAACTGGTGATCAGATAAATCTCGAACAGCTTTACGGATATCACGAGAAATAGAAATTTTGATCAGAGAAGCGAACATGATCAAAAATGGCAGAAACTCGATTAAAGAACTGGTAGATCTGGAAGAGCTAAATCAGCTAATGGAGATCACGAGAAATAGAATTTTGATAGATAACGACGAACAAGATCGACGCGAGCAATAATTCGTCAAAGAACTGGTGCAGAGATAGATCTCGACGATCTTAATCGGAGATCACGAAAAACGGAAATTCGGAACAGTGGAAAGACGAACTTGATCGACAATGGCGATCTCGAATGGAGAAGGAAGAGAAGATTACCTTCCAACTGCGCTGGTTTCTTCTCGGCCTCGAATGGAGAAGGAAGAGAAGATTACCTTCCAACTGCGATGGTTTCTTCTCGGCCTTTCCCCTCTTCTCCAAGCTGCCAAAGAATGGGAAGTCTTCCTTTAGAGAGGGCCGCGTTCGGCGGACTGGCAGAACTGTCGGAACCTTCTGGTTGCCGGTCGATCTCCCCCAACCCACCGACTTCATTCTGTTATGCATTTCGGTGGAAGAACGGACTCGCCGACGGGCGGTGGCGGAAACGCGAGGGAGAGTGCTGTGTGTTTTTTTTCCCCTCTTTTTTGGTGGAAGAATTGATCAGTAAAATTTCCAGCTCTCACCTTCCTTTACTAGTACAGTGTGTTGCACGCGCTCCAATCGGCGATTGATGCAGGAGAGAAGTGAAATGGCAGATCTGTAAATAAGATTGGATATCGATTTGTGACAAAATATGTAAGGAAAATAAGAACTATTTAGTTTTTTTTGTGACAACCTTGAACAATAATGACAAGAATAACCTATTTAGTTTTTTTTTTTTTTTAGAAATCACCTATTTAGTTTACTTTATCTCTAACTTCTACCCTATTTTGTTCATTGTTGGAATGACATTGTGGTTAAGTATTGTGCATCCAAAATCATAGAGTAGATACATTGAACACCGTACCAAATTTGTAGATATTTGATATTGTCGAATACACGTACTATTTTATAGAATTGGAATTTGGGATTGATTTTCAACAGTTACTTGTTATTAGTGATTATGATATTGGGATCAGTATAACACAGAAATTCTGATCAATCCCGCAAAATAATCTAGTATGCACTTAAACCCTCTCAACAACTAGGCTCTACTTCCATACCTACTCCTCACATTTCCATACCATGAGCACACATAATAAAACAATCTTACGAGATATACTCTAAGATCCAATGGTCCCGGTTGACACTTTTCTAACGAGTCTTGACAGTTCGTGAAAATGAACAACCCAATTCACATCTTATGTTATATTTTTTGAGAATGATAATTAACTCGAGATTATACTCTTTTTTTTTTTGGTACATCATACCCTACGTAACGTACCGCTCTGTTTGGCAACAAGGGGGGTGCAAATTGAAGGAGGGTGCAAGTTGAGGGGTATATTGCTGGGGGGTGCAAATTGCTGGGGGTGTAAGTGGAGGGGTAAATTGTTGTTTGGATGAAAAAGTAGGGGGGTGCAAATAGAGTGAAAAGTAAGTAATTATATTATTTTAAAATAGATTTTAAAAATAGATTTTAAGATTACAAAATAGATTTTAAAATTTTAAAATACTATCATAAAATAATAAAATAAATATTACTATATAATAATAAATATACTTTACTAAAAATAGTTATTATATAATAATGCTCAAATAATAATTAATTATGACAATTGTATAATCATTGATCGAGCAATCTCAAAACTCGAAGCTCAACTTGTAACTGGTCATCCTATATAGGGTTTTCGTGTCTAGTTTAATCTTAAATTGTCAAACACGTCCGAATTTGTAAGTTTTAACTATTTAGTCAAATAAACTGAGTTAACCAAACAATTTCTCTCTATCTTTTCCACAAACACTTCGTATCTCTAATTTTCAATGCAAATTCGATTCAACCAAGAGATCTAGATTTGACTTGACGAACATTGATAAACTTGTTTCCAGAGTCAAATGGTCAACCCCGAATAATGTTTACATTAATGATATTTATAAAAAGAAGAAATTGATAATATTAATTATTATATAATTATATATAACACAATTAGAAAAACAAAATTCCATAATTCCCCCCTCCCCCTCTCTTCCTTCCTTCCCTTGCACCCCAATTTGGGGGGTAAGCCGAAACAGTAAATTTGCACTCCCGTTTTGCACCCCCCTACTGTTCCAAATTAACCAAACAGGTGCAAATGTGTTGGAAATTGTATTTACCCCTCACATTTGCACCCTCCTCCCATTTACCCCTCTTCCCAAACAGAGTGTAAAACAACAAAGCAAGGGGTCGTTTGCTTCAAGGATTTGGTACATGGATTTGGTACCAAAAAATCAATTATCAAGGATTTAGGTACAATCCGTTGTTTGCTTGCATCTTTTTTGGAGACCAAATCCGTGGGGCCCACGGATTTTAATGGTCCAAATCCGTGGACCCCACGGACTTATAAATCCCACATGTTGATGTGGGATTTGGAATATGGCATAAATCCTTGATGAGATTTTACCCATATACCCTCATGCACTTTTAATATTCCAAGGTTGCCCTCAAATTTAACTATTATACATTATAATTAACAATAAATGAATAATATAAACGTTCAATTAATGTGCAAACATGAGTTAGATTTTTTATATCATTTCTTGTGTTCTAGTTTTCTTTGACCTTTTCATGGAACGTGTAATTCTTTGTTCTCCCGATTCTAATATATGTTGTTATATGTCACTTTTGAAAAGGAGGACAAAGAATTGGTAATTGATTATGTTACGTTAAAAGTTAAAACGGAATTTTCTCGTTTATTATTATTGTCCATGTGGCAACATTATGCTTATTAGTATGTATTGTCCTTGTTTTGTGTACATATCATAAACATGTCAAACATATAGAAAATGATAGTAAGGTAATTTTGAAGTTTTGTCCTTGTTTTGTGTACATATCATAAACATGTCAAACATATAGAAAAGGGCAGTAATGTAATTTTTGACTTCAAGTAGTAAATCCCACACCTTTAAATCCATGATAAAAACATCCCAACAAACAAAGGATTGTTACAAATCCATGATGCCTCAAATCCTTGATAAATCCTTGGGTTTTTAAATTACAAAACCCTCATTTATAAATCCATGAAGCAAACGACCCCCAAATCTCCTCTACTTTGCATGCTATGTTTGTAATTAATAATTAAATTGTTAACCATATATCTTAAATTCTTAATAACCCTTTTTGCAATGAAAACGGCCTGCAAAGCTATGCTCTCACAAATCACATCAGCCCTTTCCCTACCGCCAAAGGAGTGGCCGCGATCATTGCTCCTACCTCCTCTTCTCTTCACTTCACTTCACACAAGAAAAGCAAAATATTAGCTGCAGCAAGGATTGGGTAGCAACGATCAAAAGATACGTGATATCTTCTTCGATATCTTCCCCGCCCTGTCAAGAACAAGATGTGTCAACTCACCTTTGCTTGCTTTTGTAAGTAACCCATAAGATAACTTGTAGATATACCACATTTTTTTTACTGTTATATTACTGTGCGATTGCTATAATCTTTGTTTCCTTTGCGAGTTGTTGTTTGTTTTCCTCTATAATAACATTCGGATAGGGTTAAAGACACATTTGGTCACTGAGATTACAAAATCGGGACATGTTTAGTCACTGTAAAAATTTAATATCAAATTTGGTCACTACAATTACTAAAACAGGACACACTTAGTCACTCGCCGTTAGTTGCCGTCCAACTCCGTTAAAAAACTCCGTTATGTGCTGACGTGGCTAACGTGAGCGCCTAGTCAGCGCCGTTTTGGGCCGGAAATGGCCAAACCCGACCCGCCACGTCACTATACCCGCCACGTAATAAACCCAACCCGACCCAGAAACAAACCCTAACCCACCTAACCAGACCAGAGGCCACTTAAACAAATCAAAATTGATTTGTTTCCATTACAGACCCTTCTCCTTCCTCGAGCTCTTCCCCAGCTTTTCCCCTTCGCCATTTTCGATCAAACCCTGAGAGCAGAGAGCAGGGAGAGATGAAGTCGCGTTGAAGAAGAGAGAGGCTCAACTTCAGACTACCTTTTAACCAGAAAAGAGAGAGGCTCAACTTACATTTACAGTCGGGGAGTCGGGGCTAAGAGGGTAGCAACTGGCGCGATGGGGGAATAGATTTAGGGTTTCGTCCATTGCTGCGATTGAGGAAGCTGACGCTGGCGGGCGACGAAGAAGAAGAAGTACAACGTGAATCGAAGAGAATCTGAAGGTCTCGTTGTCTGCCGGCGAGGGAAACTGACTGCGATGGCGGAAACGCGCGACTTCGAAGAAGTCGAACAACGCGACTTCAATGCGACGGGGAAGGGGAAGAGCTCTCAGATTTCAACGCGACTTCAACGCTTCTTCATCTCTCCCTGCTCTCTGCTCTCAGGGTTTGATCGAAAATGGCGAAGGGGAAAAGCTCGGGAAGAGCTCGAGGAAGGAGAAGGGTCTGTAATGGAAACAAATCAATTTTGATTTGTTTAAGTGGCCTCTGGTCTGGTTAGGTGGGTTAGGGTTTGTTTCAGGGTCGGGTTGGGTTAATGGATTGGGTTGGGTTTATTACGTGGCGGGTATAGTGACGTGGCGGGTCGGGTTTGGCCATTTCCGGCCCAAAACGGCGCTGACTAGGCGCTCACGTTAGCCACGTCAGCACATAACGGAGTTGGACGGCAACTAACGGCGAGTGACTAAGTGTGTCCTGTTTTAGTAATTGTAGTGACCAAATTTGATATTAAATTTTTACAGTGACTAAACATGTCCCGATTTTGTAATCTCAGTGACCAAATGTGTCTTTAACCCCATTCGGATATGCTACATACATTGGAGTTGTCATGGCTTTTGGGTTGCTCTGTTTATGTGGTTTTGGGTGGTTGATTTGGAACTCAAATCCAATTCATCATGAATTCATGGTAATTTTCATTATTGTTTGTTTGATTTATTGTAGGCGAGTACCAAGCTTGTATATATTTTTCTATCAATATTTGGCGGTCGTATAGATAATAATCCCACTTTTACTTTGCGTGACACTAATGATTGTGTGTTTAATAATGTTGATCTCGCCTTTGTGGAATGCTCGAATTTGTTGTGTTAAATGATTTCATGAGACTATAATTGTGAAGTAACTTCTTCGTCCATTTTGAATTGATTGTTTAATTGTTGTTTCCGAAAAAGAGTAATTATTGAGCTGCAGCTAAAATAGAGTTTAGGTGATGCCGGGAGCTTCGATTTCAATTACTGGGCTTTTGTTCAGCCCAACGTTTCAAGTCCAGACGGACCAGGCCCAACTCTAGGTCCACATTTTTTTATTTTCTGATAAATAAAGCTCAGCTCAACTTGTTAGTTTACTATTAGTAGGCCCACGTTTCTCTGACATGCAAGAGAGATGCTGACACGTTTCTTTCTCCCAGCCGCGTGGCTCGAAAACCAGTTGCCACCCCCCATGTGACGTGTTAGTATTTCATTGGTCCAAATGTCCATAGTCTTTTCTCTTCCTCAACAGACAGCTCACGATCAAGTACAGAAGAGCCCATGCATAGAGATACACAAACAAAAGTCTTCAGTCTTCTACTCCTACAACAGAAGAAAACGTCAG